TTTAACGAGCTCAAGTCCTTACCTGTCCTCTCTGCAACAACATCTTTGCAGCAGGAAGTATGATTCATTGGTAAACAGTTTGCATATCCTCACTTTCCTCTGGTTTAATTAGCAGCCGCGCGGTGGACTTTGATTGATTTTTCGGCTGGAACACTCCGTCTTCTTGGTGGCACAGCACAACAGTGTGTGGAACATGCATGAGGAGATTAATGCACTCGCTGGAGTCTAGCACAGGCAGCTTTACCACCCACTAAACACTTCACTACATGATATCAACAGTGTTACTTGAAAATGTTTCGCATTTTGACTCAAATACAGTACAGGTAAAAACAAACTCTCAGAGATATGACTATACTTCCCTTGTTTGTATAGGTATGTACTTTTTATGTGTTCTATTTATTGATTTTAGGCTAAATATCTTAATTTCAGCATCTTACAGGCAACACACAGTACTTCAAGTCATAAACAGAATTTGGCATATGCCCCAAACCACCTCAACTTGTTCCTCTTGACATGGAGATGGAGTGGCTCTACCCCAAGCTTCTCCTGTGTGACCAAGCTTCTCACCTTATATCTGGGAGCTCCGAGCCTCTCTGTAACTCATTTCGACCGCTTGAATCTGTGATCTTGTGATCTGTGATCTGTTCGGTCATTACCAAAAGCTCATGAAAGGGAAAGCCAAAGTTCTGGATTTACCGGTCAAGTTATGTTCCACTCCTGACTTGTATACCGGACTCAAAATTATAATAATTAGGCCGAGCCAATACGAAGTATTGGGGAGGCCTATTGTTATTCACCGGTTTCATATTATTATTCTTTTTTTTCCGCATCTTCAATTCGATTTTTGACCCTGAAGACATGCACGAAAGTCTGCACATGGGGGGTCTAAAACGACCGGTCCGGCGAAAAATTTGATAAAACGGACGTTTCGAGATTGTCCGACAAAAGGCGAATCAATAGCGCCCCCTTGAAAATTCTAAATTTGCCATTTCTATTGGAGGCAGGATTGCATATTTTGGAGTAGGTACACAAAATTCGGATGAGTGATAGATCTCTATGAGACGAGCATAAAAGCCGGTCTAAGCACATGTCTGGGACCAACAGGAAGTCGGCCATGATGGGCCGAAGTTTCGCCGCTAATTTGACTTTTCATTTATAAATTCGAACTAGTCCCTGGTTTTTCATCACACAGAGTTCTACCACGTCATTTCCTAATCTGGACGGATTGAAGTTATATAATCATCGAAAAAAAGTTAGAAAATCTTCACCGTTTTCGTCCCTCGCCATGGCGAATAAGGCCTTCGTTTTGGCCATTTTCGCTGAGCCCTGAGGGCCACAGGCTCAGACCTACAGAGCTGAGACTCACATCAGTAATATTAGGTTATGGCCTGAACGCAATGACACTAAAATCATTCGCCCAATTTGAGCTCTTTAGCGCCACCTGTCGGAAAGTAATAGGGCACTAGTGCTCGGATCGGCCCGAAAATCACTGAGTGTAATCTCTGGACCGAGACGAGTAAAAAATTACATTATGCAAAAGTTGTAAGTCCCACACCTGACCACTGGGGGCGCCGTAAAGTGAATGAATGAGCTTTTTGGGGCAAAATGTTTGTCCGATGAGGCTAAAAATGAATTCAGAAATACAGCGTATGACCATGAACACAACAATATACAACACACAACTGTGAGTGCAACAGCGCCACCTACAGGCAGTTCAAGGTGTCGCATTTTTGGCTTCGTACTAGTCCCTGGATTTTCATCGCACAGAGTTCTACCATGTCATTTCCTAATCTGGATGGATTGAAGTTATATAATCATCGCAAAAAAGTTAGAAAATCTTCACAGTTTTTGTGCAAGTAAACAGTTTATTTCATATAGTAATATTACACTCAGAGCTACAATACCCGACCTGACCACCAGGGGGGCCATTACAGCAGTCCAACCTACTGCAGACAAATGCTTTAGGCTCTTCAGATGGTCAAAAGCTGCTAATGTTACTTATTTGATGTGGCTGTTTAAGTGTTTGTCTATTATCACTCCTACATTTCTGACCTGATTTGAAGGTTTTAGGGAGAGAAATAAGATAACTCTCTCTCTTTGTTTGGACAAAAGACTATCATTTAAGTTTTGCTTTTAGCTGCAGAAAGTTATTTTGCATTCATTAACTGATCAAGGTCAAGTTTATTTATATAGCATATTTTAAAAAACAGACAGGACTGTCAAAGTGCTTACCCATAATAACTTTTGTGTTGCAAAGTAAATGTATTTATTTATTGGGAATAAATGGTTTACAGTGTTGTGCGTGAACGAGTTCAAAAGAACGCGTTCATTGAACACGCTCATTTTTTCGTGAACGTTGAACTGAACGCAACACATTTTTAAAAAAAGAACTTGAACGTGAATTAGTTCATTTTATGTGTCATGAACGGCAGACATCACTATGAACGTTGGAATCGGTTTTCTCTTTTGAAACGCAACGAGAGACAGTTCCTCCCTCCTGTATTCTCACACTTTTTCCGCCGAAATCTAACAATTCCTACGGTTTCCACCGTCTGTGAACGCACCCCGACTCCGTGTTGTGGTGCGGCGCTGTTCGCTGGTGCTTTTCACATGTGCCCAAGTCGTGATGAAAACACAGGGTGAGTTAGCGACAAAGTTTACACCGTTTACATTTGACATAAAGTATAGACACACGCACTGCAGCGCATTACTGTCTGTAGTTTGTGAGCAGAGATGGGACAACTCTGTTTGGCTCCCATTGAAAACCATGTAAATCTTGTCTGTTTTGTAGTCAAAAGGCTCTCCTCCTGTGGGTGTACAGGAGATATATATATATATATATATATATATAGCTCGTAGTGTGAAAAACATATGTATTTAAGTATCTCACGAAAAAAGTAAAATGAACTGAACTTTGAACTAGTTCAGAATTAAAAATGTGAACTTTGAACGTGAACTGTTCACTTTGAGCATGTATGAACTGAACTTGAACTAGTTCAGAAAAGCTGTGAACTGGAACAACACTGATGGTTTGTTGTGTTTAATTAATCCACCTCTTGGTAGTTTTTCCTCAATTAATCACTTTCTGTAGAACTGTATTACTTTGGATGTGTTTGTTGTATCAACACAATTGACTGAAAGACTCAAATAGTTCATAGTTCATGAAGCATCATTTCAAACACGTTTCAAAGTCCTACACCTTTCACATGGTGTGAAAACACACACCTAATATGGCTCTACAGCGCCACCTATGGAAGGCTTCTGACCTAAACTTTTCCGATCTTCACCAAAGTTGCAAAATCAAATCTTGACATCTGTACGAGCAAAATACTACTCTACGTAGAGGGTGCATGTCCCGGAGGTGACCACTAGGGACGCACTTTATCATATTAATGAGCTTTTATATACGTAATCCTGGTCAGATCGGGCTGCCAATTCGTCGGCAAGTACGCCGCGTGACGCTTGTGGGACTGGCGCCCGGGAGGCGGTCGCAAGAGTGGCGAGGCCTTTCATCGCCGCTTGCGGCTTTAATTTTATTTTTTATTCTGTCTCATGCTCTATTTTCTAGTTTTATGGCTGTATGTGATTTACATTTGAAATTCATAGTTTGTTAGTTTGCAGTAAGAAACACATTACATCTTAACAAATTGTGACGCAAAAAGTCGTTATTATGTTTATTTTCCATTGCTTTTTTATTGATTAATTTCCTCATTTATGTGCCGTATGTATATATACTCACTCTATATGCTTGCTCTAACAGTGACAAATGTTCAATCCTAAAGAAAAAAACACAAATAGAACTGTGTATACATACTGTACATAAACCAGATTATTTTACTATTATTTTCCCATCTCAAGGAGGACATCAGTGCAATTTGTTTCTGGAATGATCAATTACTTTTTTGAATCATGATAATGCTATGTTCTGCTCCTGGTTGCTTCTCGGCTCAAAGAAGTAGTGTAATTGTTCAGCCAGCTCAAGCCAATTTTGTTTTGAAATTATTTTTTCAAAGATGTATTTCAGCTGGGAGTTTGTACATTCTTTATTTTTGAAGCACAAATGTGGGCTATGAGAACCAGCTGGAGATGTGAGAAAACTGTAAATTTTTATATTTGTCCAGCCTTGTCCGTGATGTGGGAGCCGGGGGTGTGGTGATCAATCTTGTGTTTCTGTGAGGAAGTGTGTGATGTCAAGGGCAGGGCGGCCGTTATGGCACAGTGTCCTCTTTCTGGTGACAATGTAGACATTTGTCATTCATCTTTGGGCCAAAAGCAAGATTTTAAGGCTATTGTTTCTCCAATATTTGCAGGAAGGAGTGGTGATGAAGACACTAATGGATTTGCCCACGTGTCTTGTAGTTTGTCCATAATGATTCAGAGGCAATATACAACACAACAGCAATGGGTTAGGTGTATTTTACGGCAATACACTTTTCTGATGTCTGCCAGGTTCTTCTTGCTACATAAAAACCTGTTTTAAATTGATAAGGATGTTTCTGCTCAATAGCCTGAAACTTTGCATGGACTGAAATGCGATAAATCAGTAACTTTCCAAGGTTGCAAAGTTTGGAGCCCCACCGAACAAAACTCTTCTTAAACTAAGTCGCCCATCATTTAACCTGCCTCGGAGTGTAACACAATACTGTGGAAAATCCCAGGAAAATTAACAGTGAGAAGGATTTCAGCAAAATGTGAACCCTCCCCATGAGCAAAGTGCACCGACAAGGACTAGATGTGAAAGGAGTCCCCTTTCCATCCCTTAAATACAAAAACAGAAACAATACAACTGTCATATTTGATTATCATATTACATTATCACACATTTTATGGATATCTGGGCAAATCCATCAAATGATTGTAAACTTACAAAGGAGCTGAAATTACATTTATTCAGAGGTTTGCAACATGCTTTTTATTCCATTCTTCTTTTTAACACAAACAGCTCAATAGTAAAGTGTTGCAAATCTTTAAAACTAAATTTCTAATGCTCTATCTGGCAGGTGCCCGGATTCTGCGCGGCCTGAAACTGTGCGGCCTTGTTTTCTCCCCTGTGAGACTGACTGTGTTGTGACCCCCTTCAGTGAGTGGACCCCCTGCCCGGACAGCTGCGCACCAGGTACAACGAAACACCAGGGTTCAGAAGGAATGAAGAATAAAGAATAAGGAAAGCCTCAAAAGTCTGCTGTAAAACTTGGACTTCATAGATCCATAAGTGAAAGCACTTAGCCACGGTACTTGGCACAGTAGTGTTCTGATCTATCTAACATACATATGTTTTAATAGATTATTGGTCGATTAATGAGGTATGTCCTAGTATTATGTTCGTAATTATACATAATTTACAGCTAGTTAAGGATCATCCACAGCTTCTTTCTGTGTCTTTCTACTGTCCTGTGTGCGTGCTGCAACCTTGAAACAACTACTTATTACAATTACTCATACACACGCACAAGCACACACACATAGATAAAACCATTACGATTCCCATTTGTAACTTGTGAAATGGTCTGAAAGCCTCATGAAGTGTACTCAAAACATCTCCAAATATGACTTCACCTCATTCCTTTTGTCCAATAATTGCATTAAGCGAACATTTAACCGTCCATTACTTTAGAGCAACACATCAGGAGGAAAATGGCTGTTTAATGATTTCTAATGTGCATCAATGAAAAGTATGTAATTGTTTTTAAAAGGCACAAGCAGCCGACTGGTTTCTGTAAATATGCTGTAGTCCATTGGGTGCACTGATGATGTAATCACTTTCTTAATTGCACCATTTCTAGTGTTTAGTAATTAGCACAGTGTAATGAGCCTTGCAGCGTGAGCCAAATGAAGCCATTCCAGTGCAGTGTCCGAAAACAAGAACTGTGGAGGAGGACGTCTCGCCACAAGGACATTCTAATCAGCATCTATCCCACAACACTGTTTAGCACCTTCTCCTCACATCGCAGGGTCACACTGCACAGCCCTCTCTCTCGAGCACTCTGCTCTCAGTTATCTGGTGAAATGTGCACTTAAATATAACTGGAGTAGCTTCCTGTTGTGCCATCAGGAGTCCACACTAATGTCAGGAAATGTCTACAAAAACCTCTAAAGCCAAGCCTCAGTCCCTCAGTCCTCTGACCACCATCACCCTTGCCCCTCTTCCGGGTTTTACTCACTTTCTTTGTAAATTTTCCATTCTGAATCTGTGATATCCACTCACCTCGCGTGGTAATTTTTGCTTCAAGGAAAAAGATAAAATTGCATCGCGACTTGTCTGCTACTTGTCTGCAGACAGGTCTGCACAGACTTCCTTCAGATATTTCTGTTTCCCCTACCACGACTCTGACCCCTGGACTACCATAAAAAGAAATGTTCCAATCTCAGTGGGACTTTCCTGGTTACTGTATATAAAGGTCAATAAATAAATTAATCATAGATTCGTACACATAGTACACAAGTCCCCTTTAAGATTTTGAAAAGGTCTTTATTGGCTTTCTTTGGAATGTTTTTTTTTTCCATACCATAGATGGGTTAATGCTGAATCTCTGATCCATGTTCTCAATACTTATACACATAGATCCACACAGAATATGTTCTAAAAAGTGAAATAGCAACTTTGCTTTTTATATTAAATGTCAGAAATGAACACAAACAATATCTTGTACTTGTTTCTTGTTGTGTGTGTTCTATGTCTGTTTGTAGAACAGTTAATCTATGTGTGAAAGGTATATACATAAAAGATGTCTTACTTATGCTAACAATTATCATTAATTATAAAATCACAAATACTTACACCTTGGAAAGGAAGAATAAACTGTGAGGGATTTAATAAACCTGCAGTACACCAACATTATTTGACTTAATCTAGTTTTTCATCTCGTCCTTGAATTCATAAAATCTCCCAGATGAGAAATTTAGCTTTACTTCTTACTTTAAACTTTCCACTTAAAGCTGATCCCCTCTGTCTCACAATCTCTTTTTCTTCTTTTAAAAGTGAAAGCGCTTTTACAGATTGTGTTTCATGTTGTGCAGAAAATGGAAGCGTCGCCACTCAGTCTCGGTACCGGACCATCATTCAGAGAGCGTCTAATGGAGGCCAGGAGTGTCCCGATACTCTTTACGAGGAGCGCGACTGTGATGCACTTCCTGTTTGTCCGCTCTTTAGGTAAATGCATCATCTGTCTGAGTTCTAGTCTAACATAATGTAGCTCCAGTATAAATGGGGAAAATGTGATGGAATAATGCAAATAGAGTCATGAGGTACATTTTTTGACATGTTTACAAATATTATGAAATGTACTTATGTGTTTGATATGCCATTAATATAATACAAATTTCACAACCTGCCATACAGTGTATTGTTTCTGGTTTAGCTACATGTATGTGTAAGGAAGTGTACTGTTGTAACTTCAATACTCCTATTAACTATTCAAATAAATGTTTTGTTTTTATGTTATTAAAAATCAATAAATGAGCAAGTGAATGTGCATCTAGAAACATAATTAAAACGTGCAATCAAATTTTAAACTCTAATATTCCAAAATGAGAACAATGCAAAGCGCCTTCATCCCTGAACTAATGTGATTGTGATTGTGTCTTGTGCCACCACTGCATGAAGTAATTGGTTTCTTTTAAATATGGTCTTTATTCTATAACTGGGGGTTTTGAGTTTCAAAGTGACATTTTATTCTATCCGGTTCGGGCACCAAACGTTCACAGCACAAAAACATTGAACAACATGTTTTGATCAGATTTTTCAGCTCAAAGAGGAGCCTCACTCCTGGCCAATCAGCTCCCAGTCCAAGTTGTCGAAATAGTGAAAAGATCAAGGGAGAAAATGAAGACAGCATGTTGTGGTTTGATTTGTTCCCAACATTTTACTTTTACAATCTCAGTTGGGATAAACCATATATTATGACAGTAAAATAAAGGTACCCCAGCTTTATATATGTCCATTACTGTAACCTTTAAACCAGTGTCTCCCAAAGTGGGGTCCGCGGCCCCCTGGTGGGCCGCGAGGGTACTGCAGGGGGGCCGCGGGAGGTCATAAAAAAAATAAAAAAATATATAATTTATAATGTTTTGTTTGTAATATTAAAATATTTGTGTTCATTATTTGACTTGAATAATCCACTGTAATCATTTTTGTATTACAATGTTTGTAGCAGAGGCTATTTCCCCAAAATAAAATAACCAGAAGAGCCTATTCTTAATGTTGTCTTCTTGGTTATTATTTTGGGGGGCCACGCAGACCCGTCAGATTTTTAAGGGGGCCTCGGTGTTACTGAGTTTGGGAATGGCTGCTTTAAACAAACCAGGGTCTTATAATGTGTGAAAAGTTGATATTTACATCAGGGTGATATACTGTAAGGCCATTAACTGTTAATTGCTATAGAAATTTGAGCTACATATACTTTGAATTGTATTTCAGAAACATTTTTTTTCATGGAGATACAGAAGCAAAAAGATGTACATGTTCTGTTTATTTGCATTTCATACTCTAAAATTGCATTTAGTTACACAATTATGTCCCAAGGTATGCTAGGTTTAGTCTTGTCTGTGTCGTATCTACTGTGTATGTTCTAATTCTATCAGACTTCATTCTCCTTGAGTGCCGCAGCTTGAATAATTACACAAACCCTCATTTATTCTTCTTTCCAGATGGAGGACACACAAGTGGCACAGCTGCAGCATCGTCCCAGACTCGGTTCGACGCGGTTTAGCTGGTCCCGGTGAACTTTGCGGCGACGGACTGGAGACGAGAGGTGAGGTCTTGTTTTCAGCCCAGTGGGAGCTGTCGCTGTCGGCTTTATTACCTCTGCACGCTTCACACCGCTATCCATTAAGTCTGTTTATTTAATGAGACCTAATAGCCCCTTCACGGCGCTCCCTTTAACAAGCAAGTGATGCAAAATAGCAAAGAAGAGACTATTTGTTCCGACCGTGTAACAGGACGCAGCTTCCGTCTGCTCCCCCTGATTAGCCCATCACAGTAGAGCTTTCCCATTAATGAATGCAACAAGTTTGATAGACACCAGTATTTGTTTTTGTTTTTTTTCCTTAGGCTGGGAAGCTGAAAAATTAAACAAACACGCCACGACTTACAAAACTATATAGAGTTTTAGCTCAAGTTAAGCTGTATTCCATCTTTGGGATCTTGTGGCCATTACATTTGATTCACAGACAGCTACGAAACCAAATTAACAATTAAAGAGGCCCGTGTGCAGACGCTGGCATAAATATTGCAGGGCCATAAGAACAAAGCCATGAACGCAAATTACTCTCAATCAACAAGAACTTTTCATAGTAATGGGAAGCTGCTAATTAAAATTGTATTAGGGAATTATCATAATTTTCACAATTATGGCATAATATTCTTGATATTACTGCTAATGAAGTGGAGAAAGGACTATTTAGAAATATCGTATCTCTAAAGAATAAGAAAATGCAGTTATGTAAAGGATTGTGACAATATTGGCAGCAGCATTTATCATTTATGAATTGCAATAACAGAGAAAACGGCTGTATATGATAGATTTGAAAACAGGATCACCACCTTTGTCTTAATGCCATATTTTATAATTGTTTTAGTTATAATTTACCGGGTTAGTGTCCTGTTAGCATCTATTCTATATGTGTTTGTCTTACTTGAACTTATTATTAAGCAATCAAATACAACTATGTGTACCGTTCTGGTTATACTCTATTGTTATTTTAATACAGGTAAATTTACTCCTGGGAATATTGTAGGGACTCAGAAGCATGGAGAATCACCGGTATTAACCACTGACAGACATTTCCAGACACACAAAGCTGACCATACAACTGACCATAGGCAAAGTGTCTGATGTGTTTTTCCTGAGTACAATAAGTTGCGCAGTGTGTACAAAATTATAAGTCTCTCTTGCTTACGTTTTCTAATCAGCCCCACCGCCCACACATCATGATGTATTTGACCCGGCTCCGACACACGCTGCCTGAGTGCAGTGGTGAGGAGGACATCGGGCGTTAAAAAGCCACAGTGTTTATTGGATGATCTCAAACTCGTTTACACCACAACAAATGTCTCAATAAATCCTGATGTTACGTCCGATTTGCGGCTCCATTCCAGGACTGTGGTGCAGCACTGAGAACTGTGCTTCATTTTCACTTTGCAGTGTAATTATGAATGACATTTCTCTCGTGAATCCCATGACTTTTAGAGAGGACTTGGAAAATGTAGTGTGCACTGCTCCTAGGTTATGTGCACACCCCATTGACCTTTACCACCTCCGATTTGAATAACATTTGAATTTGGCTAAATACCTGTGACATTTGGGAAAGTTAAGTGCAGTCGGAAAAAGTGCTTAAATTAAATTATACTTTTTGGTTTATTGGGTTCAGTGACACAAATAATAAATGAATACATAACAGGCCATCAGGTTTGTTATACAATGATAATCTATGACACCTATAGCTCTTTATTATACATTTAGTACATTTGTAATTGAAAAAAAAATTCATTCATTCATGTTGAGTTTGTCCACAGGTGGCCACCAAAGCAAATGTATACTCAAATATGGTCAAGAGTATTCAATTAGTAGGAGCGTATTGAGGGAGAGTAATTACTTGAGTCACACTTTCTATTTGTTTATAGCAAGTGTATATCGATTAAATAGTAAATTATGAGAGATTATCTTTTGCCAATTGGAGTGAATGCAAATATGTGATGTTTTTACGTTTATCTATATGACCAATATAGTGCATCTATATCAGTGTTCCCCATCTTTGTCATTGCATAAAATCACATGGCACACCACCAACTATACATTTGATACAAAATTGAAACGCTACTGTCTTTATTAACAAAAGAAAGTCAAACAAGCAACAACAAAAATTCTAATTATCTCATATGTTTTTGTTTTTTTTACATGATTTTGACCAAACTGGGTTATATTGGATCATTTCCAAGCCACATTAAGACACAACTCAATGCACACCAACATGCCATGGCCCACTGGTTGAAAAACACTGATCTATATGGTCAATATAATGTATCTATAAGGCCAGTACAGTGTATCTATAAGGCCAGTACAGTGTATCTATATGACCAGTACAGTGTCACGGACAATGAATCTTTGATGTTTTAAGAATGTTCATAATAACACGAGCCTGCCCAGGGACAAGACGAGGAAATCAGAACTTGCACTCCTCATTCCCCCCTTTTAATAGGGACAATGTACAAAGAGTTTGTTGCACATTTTCCCTGTTGGTGTAAATAGATGAACTAAACTCAACTTCAATCATACAAAAGGCGTGGACGACTGAGAATCTAAGATTGTGCACTGGTGTATAAGGGAAAGGCAAACTATATATATGTATATGAAGCTGCCAGATTGTGAAGGGCTTTCTCAGAAGCTTGAGGATTTTAAAGCAGAGGAGGAGAACCAAATATGGGCTGATAGCGTATTTCTTTTTTCAAACTAAAATTGTGTTTTATAAGAAACCCTTCTGCTTTGAGTCCCGGCAGACGGATCTGTGGCTCTTTACCCGACATCAGCAGAAAAGTCACATCAAAAGCCAGCTCCACAGAAGATCAAGTTAGCGACCCATGCATATATATTTCTTTGACGAAAAATGGCGAATCATCTGGTTATCACAGGATCAAAACAGAAACCTGGCAAAAGTAAAAACTGTGGGTGCCTCTCGTGGCGGTGGCCATGCAAGGATCACTCAACTACAGGAGCGTACGGAACAAAATCAAAATAACTATAACGCGGTAAAAAGCTGGCGAACAACAGCTGCTTGATGTGAAACTGGGAATGTGGTTCAAAAGTCAATTTAACTTTCAATGTGAAACTAATACACGATATACGTTACTACTCAAAATGTAATAATGAATAAATAATCAATTGCCTTTTTGCTATAATGTTGAAAACAGGCTCACAGCTTGTACAAATCCTTTTTAAAACACACACACACAATAATGATGGCACACAAAGCATGTAATGAGTCCTAATCATATATTGGTAATAATTAATATTTAGATTGTTTTGTGAATTCCACTCGTACAAATTGATGGTGGTGAAAGATATATGAATGGTTGGTGCATTATGAGGAGCTAAACAAACAAATAAAATGGTTATACTTATGGTACTTATCATGCCACTCTCTTTTGCATTCATCCCGAGGCAATGTTGACAGCAGCTCTAAGTGATGCTCTCGCTCCTCATTCATTCCTTGAAATGCAGCACACAGCGACAAACTGCAACATCTGACCTATGAGCGTCATTTTGTTGAGTTAAACGCGATGGTTTAGAGGCGTCTTTTCAGTGTTTGGTAAATGTCTTCTGTAATTATTATAAAGTTTCTATTTTCAACATGCACGCTTGATGGTCAGTGAGACTATATAGTTAGACCATACAATTCATAGACCACACGTAACTAAAGTCAAGAAAAGTCCAGCTTCTACTCATACTAAATATCTTTGAAAAGATTGAAAAGATTCTGTTGGTTCAAATTCAAAAGGTTTTTATGCCTGCCGAGCACAGTGTGGGCCGTCTATCCAGTGTTATTTGTCCCTCAAATGTTCTGTTCTTTTGAATTTAGCAATATACAGTAGTACACAAGAACTCTCAGAGAAATTTCTCAATTTAGATAAATCGTTTAATAGCCAACCCTCTCACTAATAAAATAGATCAGAAGAAATCCTATTATCATGTTGTTTTGCCTTTGTCACAGGAAATTCACAAACTCACATTTTCTTTGGCGTCTATGGTACAAATCACATAACAAATAAGTGAAATATAGATTTAATAAGGCATGCATGGACAATCCAATTCTAAAACATGAACAGACATATCACAGTGCAAGTTACACAAACACATGTCCTCTACAAATAGGCCAATGTATTTGATGTAACCCTGACTGTCTGCTTCTACAAACACTCGTTTCAATGGAAAATATTTACTGGATAATTAGAGCTGACCAACACTGGGCTTATCGGTCCCACTACAGAGCAGCTTTAAACACTACGGCTGCACACACTCGCTCAGCCGCACTTATCACTGCTGTAATTACCTTTAAGCATTTGTAATACTAATGGGCCAACATGTAGGAGCACAGCCTCAACGTCCGTCTCTGAAGCGAGTAGAGCCTCTGCGTGGAAGACACTCTGGCTGTAGGTTTATGATAACATTACTGTGAAGTGGACAGAAAGTATAAATGATTGAAGTACAATATAGGCCTATGAGTGTAAGAATATAATGCAAAAATCTGATCCATCTTCAACCTCCTAATCCATTCCTGGGTCAGAGCACCAGCCCCTCAGTGATCCTCCTCCGGGTGGTCAGTTTTCACAGGATGACCGGTGCTCTGTCGGTGGGACCATAGCCTTGATATTTCAGGGGGGGCCTTCAGGCAAATTGGGGTTAGGAGACTTGCTCAGGGACACAACAAGAGCAGAAATCATAGGGAGTCTTTTGAGAAAGTCTCGTGGTGATATAGGGTCCATGATATGATAAAAATGTGAATTATATTGAATGTTTCACTACATTGACAAAATACATCCCATACTTATGTCCACAATGTCTCTGCAGGATTTGGTCATTTTTTATGTTTTTAACTGCAATAAATACAATAAAAGAAAAGAAACATGGCATTTTGGGAAGGGAGTTTGACTAAAAATACCACAGAATGACATATTTCAGTCTTTTCAATTTGTCTTTGTCTTTTACAAAGGGATTCTTAACAATAACTATTGGTCCCCTGTTCAGTCCTCTACAGC